TTACTGAATATTATTAATATTTACACCAAAACCAAAAGAGAGAAATATTAATATTTGTCATTTTAACTGAATTATAATCTCATACTCTCAATATGATATGGAATTCTTAAACAACCAAAGTTAAGTACTGAGTATCTAGAAAGATAAAGTCAGCCTTCTGTGTATAACCAGATGCTTAGGGTTAAATTCTCAGCATCTTTCCTCCTTTACTATCAAATTTTGCACCTCTCTACTATCCAGGCATTTAGCTGACACTCTTATCCAGAGCCACTTAACAACGAGTGCCTCAGCAGAGAAAGCTTAAATGAATTTAAACAGATACAATCTGCTTCTCTGCTGTGAATACAACTACTGTCTGACAAGTACGTACAACACACAACACATTGTTCACAGTCCACATTGAGTTACATTCACAGTTTATCCATTCAGCTGTCACTCTTATCCAGAGTTACTCACAACGAGGACAAGAGCAAGGGTAAGTTTAATTTCTTAGATCACTAACTTTACAAGGCAGACATCAGTGTGAGGAGACAAATCAAAGTGAGCGTCAGGTACAGAGGCAGCCTTTTCTCAGAAATGGAAAGTGCATCCTTTATCAGGACAAAACCTCCATGTTTTTGGTTGATATCAGGAATCACTGACAACGTCCTGTCCTGGCAAGTCCACACGAGGGCTGGAATATTTCAAATATTTGGAAAATTGCATCTATGTGTCTTATTCAAGATAAGATTTTTGAGGTTGATATTGATATTTGAAAATTTTAAATACTTGATACGGATGTATTGTTGCAGCTGTTTAAATTGGGGCTAATTGGGGCTAATTGGGGCTAACTCCTTCATATGCTGTTGTTAGCTTAATCTATAATCCTTAATCTATAATCCTTAATCCTAATAGTTGATTGAGATTTTGAATTAATAATTTGAATGTGCAAAGTAACCATAATAAACTAGTACTAAAACATTTACAATATTTCCCTGTCGTGGAGTTTAAGCATAAAGCATAACATGAACATACTTATGTAAAGTACCTCAAAAAGAGCAACCATTTAGTGCAATCTATAGCTGACCGTACCTTTATTCAAATCAAAAATATATAAAGCTTCACTTAATGTGTAACTAAGTATTTTTCCTGCAAAGGTCTACCAGACAGTGTGCCTTTAGTGTGTCTGCAAGTCGTCATTATGTTCCCAGTGACCTATACCCCAAATATATATCCCATACATCAATGCCAATTTAACTTTCTCAAGAAAAATCCCCCTGTCTGGAGTTAGCAGTACATCATGCTGACAGTAAACTAATAGCCACTGACACACACATACACTCCAAGCCAGGTTTGTGGCCATGGTGCAAGACACTATAGTCTTTCTTCTTCTTTTTTAAAAGGTTTGACATATCCTGTTATTCAGACAAATCACCAGCAGCCCAAAGAGACACAAAACATGCTGATGTGACTCTGGATCTGTTTCAGCAGGAATGCTGGTTGCGGACGTGCAGGGAGTGGTGTAAGTAGGTGACAAAAAATGTGACGTGTCAGCGTATCTGCTACTTGACCTTTGTCATAAGAGTTGTTATATTTTGAAATATAATCTAAAATTAGTCTAAAAATTAAAAAAAAAATCTCATTAAATACGCAACATGAGTGTGTATTTCATAGTGGAATTTAAACATGTTTGGAGACCTTTAGACTGATTATTAGATAAATCCATGTAACATACATATTTATTTAAATTTTACCTGATTAGTCGGAGTAATATTTCACTCCATAACCAGCATACCTTTTTGGCCAGCATCTTGTAGCAAGAGACCAGCATAATTCAGTCGAAATTCAAACACATGGCTCTTCTGGAACTATATCTTCAGTGTGTGTGGCTAAAATTTGGAACAGCATACCAAATGGATTTAGTATTTTAGTAAATAAGTACAATTTGTGTTATGAGTAATGCTGCATCTATTGTAAACTGCAGCTTGGGATGTAGAAAGCACCAATATCTTGAGGCAACTTTCCTGTTTCCTCATGAAAGGCAGATGATGGTGAATATCTTTAATATTCCATTCCTTCCTGAAATAGGCATCTTCATTTTGATCCTCATGCATTTTTGGGGGAAAGCAGTAGAAAACACTGATGGCAAGTCTGCCTGGAAGTCACTTGAGGTTTTTTCTTTTTTTCCTCGGCTGATTCTCTCTTGCTTCCTAGTGCCTCAGTATCTAAATGGTTTCAGTCTGAGTTGCTCCTGGAGGTAAGCAGGCACACGGTGTTGGTTATGCAAGCTCTGTAATGTCACCCCAGGCCTCTGTCTTTCAATATCTGTGCTTTCAGTACATTCTACTCTGGTGAGCAGGAGGAATGAAAACAAAAAATGTAATGCTTGATGCCAGTGTGTCAAGAGAACGTGTGAGTCTACCTCTGCAGAAAGCCTTTGTCCTTCTACATATCTGAAATATTTTGAGAGTGATATGAATGTTTTGTGTTCCATTTTACAGCAGATAAAAGGCCATCCTGAGGGCTCCGGTATATTTAGTTTGAAGATGAATTTAGTGAGTTATCAAAGATGCAGGTTGTAAATTCCAGTTTACACGCTATTGCTGGAGGTCTGTCAACATCGGAAGTTTAGTATCCACTTATGCAGAACCTAACAGTTGCACGATAGCATGATTGCAGGTTAGATGTCAACAATTTTCTTGAGAAAAAAATTATCATAAATCAGTTTTATAGTATAAAAACAGGAGTTGGGTTTACAAGCCTGTCAACTGCCTGGGGAAAACAGCAAGGTTCATTGGGAGCCTTCAGTTCAGACAAAGAGCCAACTTGTACATCTATGAATAGACAAGCTTTTGTTAAACTACTAATTATTCTCAGAAGCTCTATTAACAACATTTACTACTGCCTAAATTGGTGTTTGTGAACACAAACTTTGTTTCGATGAAAATAACACCACACATAAAATAATCAAGTATTTGATCCATTTGGCAATTTCCTAGAACAGAAAATGTTGAGGAATTTATCATATTACATGTCACAGTACATGTTGACACACATACACAGGACAACATGACATCACATTCAGTCCAAGAGCAGGACCTGTCACACAGTAGTGGCGAGATTGTTACAATCTTCAGTCATGGTATATGTTATATTTGAGTGAGAGAGCATTATCAGGATATAGAAAAGTGGAACACTCAGTTCAGATAAATCCAAATACTTCATCACTCACTTGTCGTCAAGTGCTTATCATGTCTACAGGGTAGCAGGGAGGGGGCTGGAGCCGATCCCAGCTGAAATCTGGTAACAGCCACGCAGACACAGGGACCCACTACCTTCTTGCTATGAGGCAACTGCACCACAGTGCCGCTTCAAGTACTTCATCGCATTGATGCAAATATCCTGCAAATACAACATTGTAACAGTATCCAACAGTATATAAAAGACAACAAGAGCTTGGCATTGGAATTACAACAAATCAGCATGAACAACATATGAGCAAACACATTTTAAAAATAACAATCACAAAATAAATGCAAAATAAATCTAAGGTTTAGAAAAAAACACATTGGGAGTTAACACTTTACTGAAAATAAATGTATTCATAAAAATGTAATAATTGACAATGCACTGAAAATATGTGCATATATTAATGCACATGTGAAGTGAAAAGACGCACATCTATTAATACAGTGGTTCCCAACCTTTTTGGTGTAAGGTACCCCCATAGCCTTGTCAAGTGAACTTGCGTACCCCTTCATCAATCACACCTATAATGTACCAAATGTATGACACCACTGATCATGTTGTTTTTTAAAAAAAAATTTTTTTATACAATTGAAGTGTCAGGATAAAGGTTCGTTTGGTCACCTACACTAGGCTACTGCCATAGAAGCTGATGTTTCAACCAAGATAACCATTAGTTTTGGCTAATCATTTGTAGGGCTGCAACTAATGATTATTTTCAATGTTGATTAATGTCGATCAGTGGTTTGGTCTGTAAAATGTCAGAAAATGGTGAAAGACGTCAATCCTTGTTTTCCAAAGCCCACAATGACGTCCTCACATGTCTTGTTTTGTCCACATAATTCAGCCCAAAGATATTAGGGAGTTTGCTCTCCTAGAGGAGAAAAGAAACCACAAAATATTTACATTAAAGAAGCTAAAATTCACTCAAACCAATTATCATAATAGTTGGCTATTAATTTACTGTAAAAGTTGACAACTAATCAACTAGTTCATCAATTAAATTTTAGCAATTTAGTACAACCATTACCTTTAACTACCTGTTTAGACTTATATTGCTCACTAAATAGTTTTCACTCACTCTTACATAATTGCAACAGGTACAGTGGTGTTCAGATGTTACAGCTGCCTTAATATGTGGATATAGTCTTTTAATAAATTAATAAATTATATTTTTTCTTATTGGTTGGGCTTATTTGCAATCTTCCTGTACCCCCTGACAACTGCAGAAGTACCGCCTGGGGTACAAGTACCCCTGGTTGGGAATCAATGTATCAACAGATGTAGCAGTATAGATTTTAAATAGAAGTGTAAGACCCATTCATTAAGAGCAGCCTGCTCACTGATTCTTCCCATCCCGGGAGCAACCAGAGATGTTAAAAAAGACTTACATGTCATTTAAATACTGGATTAAATCCCCCAACTCTTATGTCTCACACAGTATGTAACACACAGTCTATGGTTTCATCCCTGTTACCATAGTGTCCTTACCACATTCCTGCCTCAAACACTTTACACGTTGGGCTGTGATTGGCTATAAAACCACACTTGATTAATGGCTAACATGGCTAAAAATATCATCAGGAAGGGACGTATGGTTACATTTAGAATTTTTTTTTCTTTTTTTTTACATCAATAAGTATATATATACATATAAGTATATATTATGAATCTTTCTTTTTCTGCTTCACCGCTATGAGGCACTAATTACCCCTCATACACTCTACAGCCTCACAGAAGGGGGCGTTCCCGGTCTGAAGCAGAGCTCAGGACATTTCAGCACCGAGCTCAGTGTGGAGGGAGAGCTGAGTGAGGAGGGACGTTGCTGCTCGGCCCAAGTGGATACAAGCCAAGATGTTCTTCCTTCTCGAAAAACCCTCCTTCTAAAACGGTTCTTTTTTCAAGCTGGGAACATAAGTAAGGCTCGTGAATCTACCGCGAGGTGACCAGCCGAGACAGATGAGTCCGTGGTCTCTCTGAGTCCTGTGGTAACCTCTGCCTTTGTTCGTGACATCTGTCCTTCACCTCCAGGATGGATCATTTAGAGAAGGAGCACAGGTCGGACGAGGAGGCTGAATATGAAGAGGAGGAGGTGGACCCCAGAATCCAGGTAACTAATGTTTACAGCCATTGTATTGATTAGTGGTTTTTGATCATCGACACTGTATTCCGTCCATTGTAGTCCAGCCAACAGCCTGTGTCCACACTACACAAAGTCCTATCTGCATTTTCTGAATGATATGAATGTTTCCTGTTTTAGATGATGCAAATGTCAACCCAGTCCTCCATGCTGATGTCATTCAGAAGAAGAGGGTGAATTATGAGCTAAGAGCTCCAGTTTGGTCATTAATAGCAGTAAACAATCATTTAACATTAATGCAGTATTACAGATGAGCTGTAATCTGTGATTGAGATTTTCAAAGAAAAGGTACTGTCTTCTCACAAGAGAAAGTATGAACAATGATTGATTCTCAAGCATAAACAGGACGAAGAAGACAGAATAAGTGATATAATGGACCAGGCAGATAGACCTACAGATGAAAGTGAGTGTAGACTGTAAAAAGGACTTGTGATCAAAGGTTTGAGAAATCATTTAAATACTAAAGACTCTCTCAGTTTCATTGATTTATCTGCCTAATTATTTCTGGTATATAATCAGTTGAGTGTTTTTGCTTAAAAAATGAGATGACTAATCAGTTGTCAAAACAGTTGATGATTAACTTTCTGTCCCTAGACTTCATTGATTAATCGACTAATTGTTTCATCTTAAAAATACAGATAGTAGGGCTGCAACTAAGGGTTATTTTATTATTATTGATTATTCCTCTATTTACCTACAAATTGTCTGAGAAGATTCACAAATGGGCAAGCTAAAGGTAACCTCCTATACATTTCCTGACCAACCCACCAAAACGTTCAACAAATTCTGTTTCCTATCAACTCAAACAAGCGACAGCAGCAAACAAACAACTGAGAATCTGGAACAAGTGAACGTTTTGGTATTTTTACTTGAAAAATGACCTTTTTATTAAATGATAATCGTAGCAGGTCCTGGTGACCTCGTGGGGTCCCGACCACACTGACTTAGCCAATTCATGATTCAGGTTTTAAAAAGTGGTCAAAATAATGACCAGACGATACTGACTTTATTAAGCAGATTGGGTAATGGCCAGATGAGACAAATCCACAGTTAAATACACTTCATTGTCGTCATTACAATTCAGACTTAGCATTTAGTGCTGCAGCTTCATGTTACCTTTCATAAAAACGCAGTGTGGTTTATAGATTTTAAAGTTGGGGGGGGGGGGCGCTGGTATCAGATTCGAAATCGCTATCTGCAAAAACCCTGAGTTGAGGTATCTGTATCAGGAGGGAAAATGTCAGATCAGTTCATCCTAAAAAAGATGAATTGGTTAACAAAGTTGTCATCTATTAAATTCCTCTGATTTAATTAGATTTCTTTCTCTGTTGCTTGATCTCACTGTTGTTCCCTCGCTTCCAGGGGGAGCTGGAGAAACTCAACCAGTCCACAGACGACATCAACAGATGTGAGACGGAGCTGGAGGTCAGTCTGCACACAAACACAGAGCCATGTGCACTGAATGTGTATGCAGGTTATCTGTATGCTCGAGCAGTGCGTCCCTTTGTACCCGTTTGACTGATAGAGCATGTAATCGTGCACAAGTAACCTCTGTCAGCAGATCAGACTTCACATCTTGTGTTCACCTGCGCTCGGTCAAGTGCTGACTGACAGCCGGTGAAATCAAGCTGTCAGTTTACCTCTTCAGAAAAGTGTTGTTTTGAAGGTATCAATGAGTGCACATACAGCAGGACCTTTGCTCCGTCTCCAGGCCAAACTGTTTTCATTTGGCTCTGAGTCAGCAGGTTTAAATATACAAGGAATTGTTCTGTATCTAGTTTTGTGAGAAACACTGATTTAATTTTGTTACAATAATCCAATTTTACTTACAGCTCTATTCAGAGCAGTTTGTGGTGATCAAGCAGGCAGATTTAAGAGTCTCGCTAAATGACTTTTTCAAGGTTGTTTTACACAACTGATCTTTGAATCCCATTAAAACCCAGTAAAGGATGTAGATCAGCAGTATGTCGCTTTATAGAGGTGAAAGTCCAAAGTCTTGTCTTGCTCCACAGTTTGAGAATTGTACATGGTGTTAATCAGGCAGCTGAGAGGTTGTTAACCAGAGTTCATTGAGTTAATTGGTTTTCCTGTGCAGGGTTTTTCTCTGAATGACGCAGCTATTATTTGGTGAGAAAGTGTTTAAATCATTAACAGCAAGGATTGTAGTTGACCAGAGTCACATTTTTTTTCGTTATCTGGCTCCATCATGAAGGTTCCCCAAGAATCTGCTCTAATTGTACTTTCATATGTAACATCTTGGCAAGAAACAAACATGATGAGAGTTTGAGTTTGATAGCATCGCCTCAGAGATTCAGCTTATATCTGTAATCACATTTTGTTGGCTGAGAAAGTAGAAATGGTTAATTTAATGTTGACAGTCTGCGGCTACGTCCCGGAGAAGAGCAGCAGAAGAGATGAATGTTGATTGAATGTAAGAGTGCAGCTAACATTTATTGCCATTGTCGATTATTCTGCCAGTTATTTTCTCAATGAATTCTTAGTCTTGAAAATGTTAAAACGATTGACCGTTGTTATTTGAAGAGCTATGGGAAATGGGATGTGAAAGCACACAAAAAGAATGCTGTTCTTAGAGCACATTTTATTTGTGATAACCGCTCTTCAAGGTGGATTATCTTTCCTTATCCATGACTGCTTTCCTGTGTTTTTCTCTTAAAATATTGATTTAGAAACCGCTGACTACCAGTCATGAGTATTAATTTCAAATAGTGCTTGACCTGCTATGTCTTTTTTTTTGCAGCTATCTGAAAATAACCCTCCTGCAAATCAAAATAGAGTGTTCTTTGAGGTCATTGGATAAATATTAAACACTTGACATACAGAGTCAGTGGTTTGGATCAGGGCCCTTGGATTGTATACAGAGCCTCCTTCATCTTTATTCAGTAGTTGTGGTTTTGTCATCTGTTGGGTCAGTTGAACCTATTTGCATCTCTCCTGTAGATACCATGTGCCTGATGTTGAGTTCAACACTGTGTCTATTGATAAACCCTGACTGATTTACATTTCTGCCCACTTCTTATGGTTCCACGGACTACAAAATTAAGTGAAGTTGTTTTCATGTCTGACAAAGACATCTACTGTCAGAAGGGGGAAAAACACTCAAACGGTCACGACACAGTTGGAAATCACCCAGTGCATCTTTTAGGATATGGAAAGATAATAATCTCCCCAGAGAAATTGAATTGACGTCAAACAACCGCAACACCAAGAAGGAATTGCATTTCTTTTTTTAGAGCTGAAATTAAACTAGTCTCAACTTTCTTAAATGGGAACATTTTCTGTAATGTGGATTTTTTTTCACTATTTGCTACACAAATTGATTAATTGAATTATCAATAATGAAAATAATCAGTGGTTGCACCTAGTGCCAGTGTCCTAGTCTAGTTTTCCATGATGGCTAACTGAAAACCTTCAGTTTATGGACTGTCGTTGGATAAAATAAGCAATTTGAAAAAGTCACTTTGGGCGCTGGGAAACGGCATTGTTCACTATTTTGACATGTTATAGACTGACTAATTGATAATGAAAGCTAGTTGCAGCCCTAGCTTCCTCAGCCATTAGAGGGAGGTCAGAGATTTTAGTGTCAAGGACACTGAACGAGGACAGATGCTTGGTATCAGTGGATCTTGAACCTGGATGTCCCTGTTGACTCATCATTTGCTCATCAGCTCCACATAAACATCCAAAGTGCTAAATCCTTTGGTGATTCCCTGCCAGGATTAATATCGTCTTTCCAAATTTCCCATTTTCCACTTCCACTGATCATCCTATCATTTGACCTAAAGAGGTGTTTGAACTGAAGCGGTCCTGCTGCTGATGAGAGGAATAGAGAGAGTGACTGGAGTAATAATGAGCCGAGTGTCGTGGGGTCTTCAGTGATGTGAAGAAGCTGATTCTCTGTCACAGCAGTGAAGCAAATGCTATTTAATTTAGCGGATACCCACAAGTTCTAGATATATCGCCTCAGGGCGCTAACATGTTGACAAGGTGAAGTGCGTCACAGTGTGAGTGTCCGAGGCCTGAGTGGGAGGAGAGAGACTCTGCACTGCAGTCTGCATCAACATCAGTATAATCACAGAGACACTGAGATCCAGAGGTGACGACACAAGCACAAGAAATATGTTCATGGCTATGTTGAAATTCATTATGATATGCTTTTGTTCTCATAATTATTTTTTGCTATTTACAGTGCAGCCCCGAAGTATTTGGCCAGGTTTGAAATTAAACAATGACGATGAGGTTAAAGTTGCTGACTTTCAGCTTAGATTTGAGGGCGTTTACATCCACATTTGACAAACTGTGTGGAAACTGTGGACAGTCAAAGGGTAAAAAGGGTCATGATTCCTTCCTTCCCTTGAAGCTGAGAGTCAGCACTTTAACCCCCATAGTCATAGTTTCATTTGGCACACAGTGTGTGCAGCGTGTACATCGGTGAAAGCAAACCGTACAGTAATGTTAGTTTCGGCTGTCTGTGTAGATCTTACACCTCAGACTGCTGCAGCCCCTCACAGCCTTTAGACCTTCTGGGTAGTCTAACCACAATGATGATGTTCTGTTTGATGCAGTGCTGCCATAAAGACCTCCTGTCTTTAACACATTGTATTCATATATTGAACTACAAGCAAAACTGAAGAGCTGAGAAGTGTTTTAAATAAAAGGACCTGGATATTGTAAGGATGCTGCGGTTTTTGCTATGTCCTAGAAAACTCATGACTGGTGGTAAAAAATGGAGATGGGGAAAATGCATTTTTACAAATGCATCTTTGTAAGCAAGACCGAGGAACAAGTCCAATCGAAGCTCTGATGTACCTGATGGTGAAATCCAGCTGTCTTTCTTTTGTGTTTTGTTTTTCAAGTTGCAGCCCGTTGTTACCTTGATGAAACACTAATATAGTTTTCCAGTAAGTGGGTTTTGGCAGAGGTCTTAAGTTAGATAAATAAATAAGGTTGAGTTTCCTTCTGGGACTTTGACATCAAGTGTCATGAGTTTCCATTTTTAGCATGTCTTCAAAGTTCAACAAATTAAATTTGAAACATTGTTTTTGTGCAGTTGAAATTCAATTCAGCCTTTGATCCAATCCAAAGGGGATTAACCAATACCTGACAATGCTAACGTTTGGTGTACAAGTCACAGTAATTTGACCGTGACCCGGTGGACTTCACTAAGCCCCCTTATTACTGTTGCTGCACCTGTCATGCTTTCTATTCTAGCACTGCACATGTACAGTTTACAACTATAATGATGGCAGATTTACCACTCAAAATCTGTGGTCATTTTTAAAGCAATTTGATTAAGCTACGTATGTAACATTGTGCTAATTTAGTGCTTTGTCACAAGGCAAAAAATACTGAGGCTAAAGCTTACAGGCTATTTTGATTTAACATAAGACCTTTCCGATGTTTACAATAGAAACCTTAGGTAAGCGTCCCCAGATTTAAAGAGCAGGATAGCTACTAACATTAGCCTTAACTCTGTGACATGTCTCTAACATCTGGGACATCTGTATGGAACTATTTAAATGATTTTTAATCCATTTGTTGCTATTTCTTCTTGTGTTTCAAACCCCATGTACACCTCCTCAGTATGTTGAGAAATTCAAGGCCTGTTGTGCTAAGTTGTTTTCTTAAAATTCCTGTCCGAGGAAGGGTTCGGCAGAAAACACAATCTTCATTCCTTTCACCAATCAGTCCAACATAATGGAACATGTAGGAGAGCAGGACACATCCAACTGTCTTTTATTGTAGTTTCTCTCCAGGCCAGGATTAACTGCATCAGTCCCAGTAACCCAGATGTTTTATTTACAGGGAGAGAAGCACGCATGATGCAGTGATGTACGCAGTACAATAGTTTTTTTTTTATGCTCTACTAAGAAGCATCTACACATTCTAATAGAAATATTGTCTTTAAGCTACAGCATTTACAGCAGACAATAGACAGCAGCCAATTTAGTTATGTTGCATACTTCCCTTTCTGTTTGGTAATTATATTGTATATAGAATATTGTTTGGACTGGATGTATTTAATTTGCTCGCAGTTAGTCCATAATCCTAATTCTGAGAACTAATCCCTACCAAGGGACAAACAAAGTTCTCTAAGACGAAACAAACTTCCTCGGAACGTTAACAAATTACATCAGACATAAATCTTTCACAGGCGACTGTCAACTGATGGGCTCGGGTCTGTTTGTTGGTGTTTGTTGGTGTTTGTTGGGACACCCTTGTTCTCAGAAAAACTGTGTCAGCTTTATCTGGCACATGATGTGACTACTTTGCCCAGATTAGATTCAGTTAAATGGTTGGAGCTAATGCTTCTTATCCATTATTTAGACCTACTTTTTGTGGTTTTATCTTGGAGCTCTGGGGTTTGCGATGCTCGAGTTCTTACCAGTTGTGGCTGATAACAGAGGCAGCAATAGAGCAAGTTTCATTTCCTTGACTATGAACTTGACAAGCAGCTACATCGCCCCTTCAAGAGAAGGCCCCATCAAATGTTCATTCAGAAATGCAAGGCAGAATACAACAAGAAACCCTTTTAAAGGCTGGACAGGAGCATTTTGATTGACAAGAGTTGGAGAAACATCTGCATTTAATCCAACACTGAGCTCTGCTGTAGCCGACCGTGACAACAAGTGCTGTCTGCTTTGATTGATCTACAGTTTCTGCATTTTCTTTTATCATATTGTATGTGGAATATTGTCATCTATGCAATTTGAGCCTGTAAAACTGTGATAAATAAGTTAGGAAACTAATAAATAAGTAGACACCCACACTTCATCTTTAATTCAATTCTGGGAACAAATCACTAACTAAAGATGTAAGTCCACTGGCTATTTGGTTTTATATGTTAGACACATTATCTAGCTTCAATCAGTTGCAGTAAAGAAGAAAGAAAACCTCATACACCTTCTCCAAACACATAAGCTGGTGCAGTTTCTTTTCACAGTCCGATATAATGAGATCCCCATTCGCTGGCCTCAGAGGGTTTCTCTGTCTGAGTTTTAAAGTTCACCAGAAGGTTATTTTGAGCAGTAGGAGAACAACTGTCTCTCGGCCACATCAAATGTTCATAGAATTTCTTATCAACATGAAACAATCAGCAAACATCTTGTGCTCTGGATGAATATAAAAGAAGGCAGCTAGTCTCTCTGTGTCCCCTCCTCCAGACCATGTTGCTGCCTTGTCTAAAAATGTACATTCACAACCTTTATTTATTCACCCAGTGCTTTTCCATTATCTTTTGTACAGTATAGTGGATCTTTTTCTGCTTCTGTGTTGGGAACACTTTGTTTTGGAGTATTGGCACCTTGTATTCTGCTTTATGATATAAGTGAAAGACATGCTAGAAATGCTAAAGCAAAATGAAGTACATTTTGGGGAACTTAAACGTATGTGTGACTTTGTCGACCATGTTCCTTTTTAAAAAAACAAACAAACATGTAAGACTACATGTTGCAAAACTATAAACGTGCAGAACGCACATTAGCTCTAAAAGAAATTGAAAAAGTTGTAATGAAGAAGGGTTGAATTCGTGAAGTATGATATTATAACCAAAGCAGCTATATCTTAATTAGTTAAGGTTGCCATGGCATAGTTTAGTTCAAAGAGACTGTCTTGGATGGAAGCAGGCAGAGCAGTCCTCATTCATCACAGAAATGACCATCTAGATTTCCATGTGTTTTTCTCATTACAACAATTATGCAAGTGCTCATCCAGACACAACAACATTAGAATGACATGTTAAAAAGAAGCATTTCACAGCCGTGAGCTCTTGGTGTGCAGGATGACACTAGCCTGATAGCCTGGACCTTCTTGCACCAAATTTGCAACATAACATTTCCTCTTGCCCATTTTGACATGTTTCAAGAGTCAAACCAAACTCCATACTTGCAACACAAGCATGAGGCACCAAATGCAATCTGCAGCTTTTGTGAAACTGGCCCCATACTGACTGTTTTGTTTTGATCAATACAATCAGTGACACATACGGATGTGCCTGACATTTTCAGTTGATACGGAAGCAGCAGTAGAGTTTGATAGTTAGCTATGTAGGAAGGTTGGTGGTCTATATAAACAGCAAGAAACTTTTGTTTTCTTTGAACCAGACCACGGTGGAAAAACTGACCTTGTTGGTTTTAGATGTCCGAACAAAGCTCTCTAAGATGCAACAGTTTGAATACCAGTTATATCTGATGTTCATTATTCACAGGAAGCTGTCAACAGATTGGCTCGGGTCGGTTTTTAACTGTTTCTAGGGACACTTGGACTTGATTGATTGACACTTGTCCAGATTAGATTCAGTTAAATGGTTGTAGCAAATGTTTCTTATCCGTTATTTAGACCTACCTTTTTTTTGTTTGTTTGTTTTATCTTGGAGCTCTGGGTTGTTGATGCTCGAGTTCTTACCAGTTGTGACTGATAGCAAAGGCAGCAATAGAGCAAGTTTCATTTCCTTGACTATCAACTTTACAAGCAGCTAGTAAGATGAAGGTCAAGGGTTACAAGAGCTACATCGCCCCTTCAAGAGTTGTAACAAATGCAAGGCAGAATAAAACAAACATTTTCAAAGGCTGGACAGGAGCATTTTCATCGACAAGAGTTAGAGAAGCAACATCTGATTAATCCGACTCTGAGCCGTATTTTTGTAGCCAACTGTGAAACCCAACCCTGTCCACTCACTGAACCAGACTGAGAGACCAATTAAAGGCTCAGGAACCCTTTGCAGGTGTTTTTGGATTAATTAGCTCATTAGAGTGTGACACTTTGAGCCTTTTCACAATATTAAAATTTTCTGAGAGTTTTCATAAGCTGTACACAATAATCATCAAAATTATATCAAATAAAGGCTTGAAATATCTCACTTTGCATGTAATGAGTCTGTATAATATATTAGTTTCACCTTTTAAGTTGAAATAAATGAACTTTAGCACGATATGCTAATTTCTCGAGTTTCACCTGTACATGCTGTGGAATTCTTTCTCTGCATTGAATCCATCCCTCAATGGAGCAGTGGGCAGTGTCAGCGGTACCGACTGAAGAAACTAACATGTTTTTGATATTTTTGTATAAGTTACAGTGGTGTGATTTGTATTTTGCAGAATGCTCCACCGCTAATTTGAATTACTGAAGCCTCTCTTTCTCTCGTTCTTTCTGTCAGGACGCAAGGCAGAAGTTTCGCTCGGTTCTGGTTGAGGCCACGGTGAAGCTGGACGAACTGGTGAAGAAGATCGGCAAGGCTGTGGAGGAGTCCAAGCCTTACTGGGAGGCCCGAAGGTTGGCCAGACAGGTCAGGCAATAGTGAATGGAGGGAGGGCAGGATGGGTGGTAGAAGCATTAGCATTAGTTTTAAGTTTTTGGGGAAAACCCAAGTCTGGTCTCAAGTAGAGCCCCAGGTCCATTCGTTTCGGGGTTTTTTTTTTTTTTTTTTTACTGCCACAGATCTTGAGTCCGTGTATCAACGTGTTTAATGCTATGCTGTTTGCTAAGAATGTTTTTTCCTTTTTCCCTGCAAGTGTTTTCCAAGGTTCAATCTTTCCTATTCTAACAATTTCATATTCATCATACATTCATACATGAATCATTAATTGCATTCCTCTTTAACAATATTTGTCCAGCTTTTAGATGTTGCTTGCAGAGGAGAAAGGGCAATTGCAGAAATTGGTCACAACCCAAAATTGGCGAGGAGGGGAAACTACACAATCATTTCAGATCAGTTCCCTTTTCAGCCCAGCCTCAGAACTCTGTGTGTGTGTGTGTGTGTGTGTGTGGTGTAAATGAAGAGGGAAGCAGCCACCTGCACATCTCGATAAGAGCCCACACAGCTGTAACCGCTCAGTCAGGAAGCAGAGAGATCAACTGAGACTCTAAAAGGCTTCATTATGTAGTTTTCTTGACTCTTCAGCTAAATGATATTGCTCATATAGGAAAACTGTCGGTGGTATTCAGGTTTTCACAAGGAGATAAATAATTATTATAAATGTGAGGGAGGGGTAGATGATTTTCGGCTCTGTGCTGAAATAAAGGCAATGGTGAAAGAGTTTCTGTGAAGTGACACTGCAGTTGGACTTCCCTTTTTCAGCTGTGCCCTTTTTTAACCTATTTAAACTAAGTGCTCTGAGGCTACTGCTACTATTCTTATGATCAAGGATCACATGGAAATGTTCAAATAGAAATTAATCACACAATTGGACAAAAATACAAAGTCCTTGAAAAAATCAACAACATTCAGACTTCTAAAGATGCAAACATGTTGTGGTTTGTTCTTTGACCTTGAGACTTACCTAAAATACAGTATTATGAATTTTGTAGAGCATATTGTTCAAAACAATTTCTAGCTTTGTCTTTAGCATCTGGGGTTCCCATGGGCATTTGTATCACCAACCTTGTTGGCAGAAATAATTTACCACCAAGGTCATCAGATAATCTTTTAATTTATTCCACCTTCATTTATATCAGACCTTTCAGGCAGGAAATGCTGCTCAAAGTACTTTAGAATTAGGACAAGTCTAGAAGTCAATTGCACACGACGACATAAATGAGAGATACGCGTAACTTAAGTGTTTGTAAAAGTGTATCATGACAGAATCGTCCCCTGTGGTTGTGGTGTTCAAGCGTCACGAATGACAGTCCTCTGGGAACTGAGATCAGGATGTGCACCATGTGATCGTTCTAGTTCCTTTTACGTGTCTGCTCACCTGCTGGCCTGATTTTATTTCTGTCTCCTCTCTCCATTTACTTTCACTTCTTAAGTAATGAATCTGGAAAAGTTTACTTCTGTGAGGAGTTGGTTACAGTATGGGTGTTTTTCTCGTGTCCCTAGAAAGATCATTTCTGTTAGGGAAGTGCATAAACGTGGAAATGAAGGGTTCATGGGTTGTAATTCTGGAGCAAGAAGCCGATGACAAGCGTGAGAGGGAGGAGAATTAAAAATGCAGAGGATCACGGCAGGGTTCGTGCTTTCCTACAGGCAGGCAAAACATTTTACATTTTAATGTTACCACAATTCTTACCCAGCCTCACTCTTTTACTCTGTAAGAGAAACCATTTGGACAAGTTCTTTGTAAGCACGGTTTAGACTTGGCTGTCAGTTACACTGCACCACTTCTGCATGACCAGAGTTATTTAGCTTGACACCAGGCTGACAAAAATAATCAACTCGTCTCCTCATGCAGATGACCCACTTTTGCTAACTTTGCTAAGTTACAGAGACTGTCCTGTAACTTGAATAAACAACACAAGGAAAGTAGTGTTGTACACGAACACCGTATTTCTGTTTACCTTGCGATTGTCACAGCAAAAAATAAGATCGGAGCAGTGGTATAAATCACTGTACAGTGTTTAGGTGTCAGATAAGCCTTCATACTCATGGATCTATTTCTCAAATGGCCTTTCTGGGTTGTATTTCACTGACCGATACCGGATACCTCACACCCCCAACAATGCAGTCCATTGCTACGTATTTAACATAGTGATGTTTTCGGTCTGTACTGGGCTGCTGTTGCCATGTATTGTTGTGAGCAGATGAAGGATGGATTTGTTGCTGTACTTTAAAACATGGAGCTTGGTGCTCAGGTTAAACAACAAATGTCTCATCTTCACATTATTACAAAGTTGACTGTTTTCTCTGGCCCAAAGATCAAGACTGTATTCAGCAGAGCCATTACCTGTTCTTAGTGACGACTGCTGGCTTAGTTGAGGATTAACTGAAATGAACTTGGGGATGAAAGTATCAGATACACTCTCTGAATAACAACAACAGAAATAATGTAGTACTAAATTTTTTTTCACAATGCTCATTGACACAGCCTGTTACTGAACATATATTTATGGTTGAGGCAACTTGTTCAAGGGCACTTTGCTGATTTATCTCCTGATGGTCTGGTCTGATGTTGGAAAACAGTGACTTTGAAATCACAGCCAGCTTTTCTAAGCTAGCCATTGCTGAATGCACTGGCCTACATAAATACACCAGATGGAAAATGTTTATCTGTGCTTGCTCTCTGAATGCCTCCCAGGGCAGATTTAGCCCTTTGTTTTGTTTATATCAGCAGAGAAGGATAAACGTCAGTTTTGTAAGCCAGCCTTGTTCTGCTCTCAAATCTTTTCATCGTTTGTCTCCCTGTCCTTCCCTATTCTCAGTCTTTGTCTTTCCCCTTTCTGTCTGATGGCTACAGGCTGCAGTGGGGTTTTTATCAGATCTCTGCAGTAATTGCACTGCAATAGTCTGGCACCCAAAGCCGTACTTACAGTAAGTCTGGGGAAGGAACAATCTGGATGAGATTTTTTGGCGACATGCAGCTATTGTTTATGAATTAATTAATCTTCCCATTATTTTTTTCAATTGATCATTTAGTCTATAAAATGTTGGAAAATAGTGACCTACCACAAAACCTACCACCATGAGGCCAGTGTTGTACCTTCAAATGTCCTCTTTTGCAGTTGCTTAAGGGGTGCAAGCAGGTTGGTGTTTAAGATACTGGAAGGCTGAAATCAACCCCGTCTTTATTTAGCGAGGGATTAATGAAGGCTACTATCAAATTATTGGGGTGATGGTAATACAAAATAAGTGTGCGGAACAAGATGTAATAAATGTTTAAAAAGCTCTAAATCCTGAGCTGGGTGATCAGGGGCCTTTGGATTTTTTAGTCTTGTTTATGCTAACATTACATCTGCTAACTATCGAAATGATCAACCCTGTATTTTTAAGGCAGTTTGTGCTGCCATTAAGTATTAAGAACTTGTTGACAGTGGGTTTCTTCTTGCCGCTGTGGCCGAGTGCTTGCTCATGGTGGGAATTTTCGGGTCTCCGTAAATAAAATTGTATGAGTATGGGCTAGAAAAACCGGAAGAACTGAAGCCAAATTAAAATAGTTGTTGGATGCTGTGAATATTTTTTCCTTCTCATTGAGAGTGTCTAATGTCTAACATAATGTACATTAATGTTTGGTTTCAGCAGAGGTTTCAATATGTCATGTTGGTATATTCATAGTTGCTTTGTTATTGTCTATTGAATCTGTTTAGGAGCAAAGAAAGGAAATCTTCTCTTTATTCTTTAGCTTATTTCCTTCTTTCTCTGTACTTTATTTGCTCCTTCCCTTGATTTCACCCTTTCTTCTTTCTTTCTTTTTAAATTTGATACATTATCTTCCTTATATCTGCTCTTTTTCTTATTACCTCCTATTTCTTTTTCAGCTTCATTCGTTATTCTGTCATTTTTTTCCCTTGACTCCTTCTCATCTGCTTTCTTTCTTTCTTTTCTTCATTTTCGATCTCTGTTCAGTTATGTCCTTCTCCATCATCACAGAAATCCCAAAGTATTTTGTCTGACTCACTGTTTTGTTTGACTGTTCGGGAAAATCCTTCTCTTTCTCTCTGGGCTCCCTCCATCGCTCTCCCACTCACTTTGATAAGAAACACATTATTTGCAGTTGCAGATAAGCAGCAGGCAGCACCCAGGGAGTGGTGGCAGCGGCTGGTGGAAACAAACGACTCGGTTTGACCTTGACTCAACATGGAAGATAAAATACAGACCTATAACTCAGCATTGGATAATCGACATTTGAATACCAGGCATCCTGCTGGCACAAAAGCTTTATGAGTCAGTCATTATGCAGGAGTACAATAAGGGTTTCCCAATGAGCTCCATTTGAGTCTTGAGAAATCATTGAAAGTTTGTGAATTTAAAATTGAAATAAGGCTTTTTTAAATTAAATGAATGGCCTTAAAAGTACTTAATTAACAAACTCATGATAGTGTGCCTCAGCTCCTCTTGATTTGACAGACTGAGCAAAAAAAAGGGCTTTGTTATCATCATGTCCCATGATCCTAAAAAAATGCAGATTTTGAGATCTTAAATTATGGGGAAAGTCATCACAGCATCCTCACATTTTATGTCCAAGTGAGTGTGCAAACTCTGCACAACTGTGATTGGTCTCACATTCTTTAACATCCAGTTAATAAACATTTAAGGTGTATAATTTTTATCCGGGCTTATTCTTTGACTTGCAAACTGTCAGCGTTCCTTGTCACCAGACAGACACACTGTCTTTTGTCAGGACCTATTGAGCCTCTATCCACCTTCAGTTTGTTTGAAACAGTATTTTCCTCACTTGTCTTAATCTTTTATTTGAGCCTTTGTTTGTTTGTTTTTTTAGCTTTATTCTAATTCAGATTTAATGACTGGTCACCAACAGAAAATTAATCTGCACTCATTTTTAATAATCAATTTATTTATTTAAGTCAAGTCTTAAATCTACTGCTTTTTTATTGTAAAGATTTTCTTTTTTT